AGTGTATATGTTTAGCAAAAACATAGGATGGAGCGCTAGACCCGCATTGGATGAAAAGACCGGTCAACAGCTCGACAGCGTCATAGAAACTTGGACTGAAAACAACGCACTCTTTCGCTGGGATGCGTCTGGCGGAAAATTTTTGCCCGAAATCATGGAAGATTCCATAGGTATTTGTTCAAAATTCAAGCATTCGCAAGAGTAGCAGTTGGTATGTAACTATAATCACCAAAAGGCGGGCTGGAGTACATGCATCTTTGCACCATCAAGTTAATTAAACACTTTTTTTCATGTTAAATCTCCTTAAGAAAATGTTCAATTTCGAATCTACTCCAACCGTCGATTTCAGCTCGCTTGTAGCAAGCGGTGCAGTAATAGTTGACGTACGCACTCCACAAGAGTTTAATGGTGGCCATATAAAAGGTGCTATCAATATCCCTTTGGATGTACTTGGCACAAAAGGCCGTACTATGCTCGACAAAAACACCGCAGTGATCACTTGTTGCCGTAGTGGCGGACGCAGCGGTGCTGCCATAGGTGTTCTTCGCGATATGGGCATCGAGGCTTACAATGGTGGACCATGGGACTCTTTGCAATCGCAACTCAAGTAATCCACGACTAAAGCAATGATGATACACAGAAAGACTTGGAGCTTGCTGGTGGGTGTTTTCCTATCTTTTGGGCTTTTGGCTCAAGAGGCGACCGAAGAAGAAGTGCACGACAGTACCTGCATCACGTATGCGCTCCAACATGGCAAATTTCATGGACATTTCCGCAATTTCGTGATGGCTACCGACAACGCTAGCGGGCTTACCGATAGTTGGGCATGGGCTGCCGGTGGTGGATTGCGCTACGAATCCAAGTCTTTCTATCATTTTTCGGTGGGTATCGGAGGTTTTTTTATCTTTAATTTGGCTTCGTCAGATTTGTCGATGCTCGACTCACTGACCCACGCACCCAATCGTTACGAATTGCCACTTTTTGACGTAGAAAATGGGCACAACACGCGCGATATCGACCGATTGGAAGACCTTTTCCTTTGTTATCGCAACAAACACATATCCGTTATCGTTGGCAAGCAGGTCATCAATACGCCATACATCAACGCTCAAGATGGTCGCATGCGCCCTACAGCAGTGGAAGGCGCGTGGCTGCAGGCTCGGCTCCACTCAAAACTATCGCTGCAATCGGGGTGGCTCTACAATATATCGCCCCGTGGTACCGTGCAATGGTATTCGGTGGCTCATTCCATAGGCGTGTACGGGCAAGGCGTACAGCCCAACGGACAAAAATCTGACTATGCGGAACACCTGCATTCATCAGGTATTGGACTGCTTGGGTTGACGTACAAACCTTCCGCCGCCTGGAATCTTCAGCTTTGGGAACAATATGTGGATGGTATATTCAATACGGCTATGCTCCAAGCCTCCTACAAACACCGTACAAAACATGCCGGAACGCTTTACGCAGGCTTGCAACTGCACCGACAAGATGCCATAGCGCATGGCGGCAACCCCGAACCACAAAAGGCATATATACAACAAGGAGAATCGAGCCATGTAGTGAGCACGCAATTGGGCTACCAATGGCACCAAAATTGGGATGCTTCTTTGAGTGGGACTATCATGGGCGGCGAAGGCAGATTCCTCATGCCACGCGAGTGGGGACGCGAACCTTTTTACACCTTCATGCCGCGCGAGCGCTCGGAAGGACTTGGGCATAGCAAAGCCATTGTAGCCAGGCTTTCGCGCTCCGCCATGAAGCAACACCTCAAATTGTCTTTGGCTTATGGTTATTTCGACAATGCGGATGTAAAAACCACTGCTTTTAATAAATATGGACTACCCGATTACCACCAAATAAACTTTGACTGCCGATATGCCTTCTCCGGTCGCTTGAAAGGGCTGGACTTACAACTACTCGTCGTGCATAAGAAAAATGCAACCTCTCACACTTCCGAAATGAAATACATCATCAACAAAGTGGATATGTACAATTACAATTTCGTAATCAATCATCATTTCTAACAGCATGAATCCAATAAACGACTGGAAAATGGTAGGGCTCGCCTGCCTCACAATGGGACTAACACCATTCTTCCCCGAACCTCACATCCTAGGAAAGCTACGTTGGGTAGCCGGAGGAGCCATAGGCATGACCCCGCTCGATTGGGGCGATTTACTCATGCATGGGATACCGTGGTTGCTGCTAATTCGATTGATTGTCATCAAATTCATACCAAAATCAGCAAAAGCACAATGAAAAAACTACTTTTTCTATTCCTGTTGGCAGTCGCAGTGCCAAGTATCAGTTTTGCCCAAGCCGAAAAACCGGTTGTCGTTTCCACCAAGAAACACAAGGTAATTTTTCAACTCACCACGAGCGATACCCTTTCGCACAAGGGATTGGTGAGGCAACTCAACAACTTGCTTAACGCTGCACCCAATGCCAAGCTGGAGGTCGTTTGTCATGGTCCGGGCATCACTTTCCTGTAGACCGATGTGACCAAGCAAGCCGAAAAAATAAAAGAACTCAAAGCCCGTGGCGTTGACTTTGTAGCTTGCGAAAATACCCTCCGCGAACGCAAAATAAAACCCACCGATTTGCTCCAACAAGATAGCCGCATGGTTCCTGCCGGTATCCTGGAGATTGTGATGAAACAAGAGAAAGGTTGGGCTTATATAAAGGCGGGGAATTAGTGAGGAGATATGAAATATGAGATATGAGATATGAGATATGAATTCGTGAAAATTCGTGTAATTCGTGGCAAAAATTAAACACATAGGCACATAGAACACATAGTTTTATGAGCAAAGCACCACACGCAGTATCATAAAAAAAACATATATAAATCATAAAAAACATAAAAATCATTATCCCTGCCAACACGCAAAGCTCCACGCAGATTCGTGAATATTTGTGCAATTCGTGGCAAAAAACACTTGTGGCTACCCCAAAAATGCAAGTAACTCCCCACGCAAAAACTCCGTTTCAATTAAAAAGCCATCGTGCCCAAATTTAGAACTATACGAGCATAACTGCGCATTTGGCAAGTGCTTCGCCAAAAACTCCTGCTCAAAAGGCGGAATCAGCATATCCTCCCGGATCGAAAAAACATAAGTCGGCAAAGATAGCAAACCCAAAGCTGCAGCCGCGCCTTTGCGCCGGCGCCCCACCTGATGCGTATCGAGCGTGCGCGTAAGATGATAATAACACGACGCATAAAACCGCTTCACCAACTTCTCGCCTTGGTATCGCTGATAACTCGACGCCCGAAACTCCGTAGAAGTGTCCTCCGTATCGCTCTGCGTATCGCGATAAGCCTCGATAGTGCGGTAACTCAAGAGACCCACCGCACGTGCCGCACGCAATCCCGCCGCTCCTGCACCCTCCTCGCCGCTCCAAGTACTCGCATCTGCCAGAATAGCCATACGCTGCGTCTCATGGATAGCAATCGCCCACGCACTTTCGCGGGCGGCACACACTAAAAGCGCCAACTTACGCACCGGCGCCGATGCCAATGCCGCAAACTCCAAAGCCTGATGTCCACCACACGACCCACCTATGCAAAGGGCAATCTCGCGCACGCCCAAGTGCTCCCGCAACATGTCATGTGAACGCCCAATATCGCGTATGCTCACCAACGGAAAATCCTTGCCGTAAGGTTTGCCGGTAGCCGGATGGATGCTTTCGGCACACGTACTGCCATAGCAAGAGCCTATAATATTAGCGCAAACAATGTAATAACGCTTTGAATCAAACACATTCCCCTCGCCAAACAGCCCCGACCACCAGTCTGCCACATCGGAGTTGGCAGTGAGCGCATGACACACCCAAATCACATTGTCGCTCGAGGCATTGAGCGTACCATAGGTGTGATACGCTATCCTCAAATCCGCCAAAACGCCGCCGTGCTCCAGCACAAACGGCTCCGGCGCATGGTAAAACTTCAGCCCGGGTATCGAAACGGGTATTTTATAATCGGCTCCTATTTTTGTTAATTGCATATTTAAATTGCTGTCTTTTGCCACAAATTGCACAAATTTTCACGAATCTGGAGGCACTTGATGTTGGCAGGGATAATGATTTTTATGTTTTTTATGATTTATGTATGATTTATTTTATGATACTGCATGTGGCGCGTTGCGTGTATTTTTACCACATAAGCGCACTTAAGAACACATAAGCTAGCTACACTGGGTGTCGACTCTTTTAACTCTTTTGTGCATTTTTGCCACGTATTACACAGCCTGTCCCGATTCATCGGAAGTTTTCATGAATCTGGAGGCACTTGGCGTGTGGCTTCCCTCTGATTTTCAGAGATTTAGCTGCACGCTGATAAAGCAGATTTTTCCACGTGATGCCTTTCATATTTCATATTTCATATTTCATATTTCATATCTCATCGTTCATATCTCATCGTTCATCACTCATCACTCAAAGAATGGCGTGCCCACACCCAGCCCTTTTACATTCGTAGGTAGCTTGGTGTTTACGTCGGGGCTGTGTGCGGTCGGGCTATCCACTGCAATAGCTTTTTGTGCCTTTTTTGTCTCCGCGCTTGGTCATTCGAGATTGATTTTACGATACAACTTTTGTTTGGTTTTGTTGGTTATTTTGACAAAAAAAGGCACAAAAAGCTATTTCCGTTTCTATCCCTCACGCGCAATGGTGCGCATATTGTCGGCGTGACTTCGAGTCACGCCGACAATACAGTATCGCAGTCGCGCGCTGCATGAGGGATAGAGCCGGCACTGACCCAAAAAATGCCTGCGACACCTCCAAACATCACTAGAATATCAAGAGTCTGCGCGACAAACCAAGCAACCTACCACTACAAAAGCATTTTTTGGGGCAGTATAGGCGAAAGCCCGACCTTCCATAAAACTGCCTTGCGATACAACTTGCGGTAGTCTGACAGCAAAAGCGAACGAATAACCTCGCGGAAGCTCAACACTTTAGGCAGTTTTATGGAGGGGCATGCCCAAATTGCTCTTTTTTCAGGACAAATCAGTATTCCCCAAAGCGCCAAGCACATCCCCCAAAATATCATCTATATCCTCCAAGCCCACCGAAATACGTATCAAGCCTTCCGTGATGCTGGCAGCGGCGCGAGCCTCGGGCGTAAGTTTGGCGTGCGTAGTCGAAGCCGGATGCGTGGCGATGCTGCGCGTGTCACCAAGATTGGCGGAAAGCGAGAGCATTTGCAAACTATCTAGAAACTTCCGACCTGCCTCTACCCCACCCTTTATCTCGAAAGCAACCAATCCGCCGCCCTTTTTCATCTGCTTTTTCGCCACCTGAAAGTTGGGGTGCGAAGGCAAAAACGGGTAGATAACTTGCTGTATTTGGGCATTTTTCTCCAGTTGAGCAGCCAATTTCTCCGCATTGAGGCAGTGGCGATCCATGCGAATGGCTAGGGTTTCGAGGCTTTTAGAGAGCACCCATGCATTGAAGGGCGATAGCGACGGACCTGTGGAGCGACAAAACTTGCGCACCTCGGCGATAAGCTCCTTGGTGCCGCAAACCACACCGCCCATCACACGACCTTGACCATCAATGAATTTGGTGGCGGAATGCGTGATGATTTGTGTACCAAACTTTGCGGGCTGTTGCAAATACGGCGTAGCAAAGCAGTTGTCCACATTGAGGATGAGTCCGTTGCGCTCCGCAAAAGCATGCGCTTCGCTCAAGTCCACGACATCCAAACCGGGATTGGTGGGAGTCTCCAGGAACAACATGCGCGTACTGGGGCGCACGAGGGATTGCCATGAATCAGGGTCACGGGCATCTATAAAGTCGGTTTCGATGCCATACTTAGGCAAAAACTGCCCGATAACCGTATGTGATGACCCAAAAATAGTGCGCGACGCCAACAAATGGTCGCCCGCCTTCAGCAAAGCCATAAAGGAAGCAAAGACCGCCGCCATGCCGGTAGCGGTAGCAAAAGCATCGTCGGTGCCTTCGAGCGAAGCCATTTTTTCTTCAAACTCGCGCACCGAAGGATTGGTGAAACGGCTGTAAATATTGCCTTCTTGTTCGTCGGCGAAGAGTGCGCGCATCTGCTCTGCGTCTTCGAAAACGAAGCTCGAAGTCGGAAAAATGGGTGTGCTGTGCTCTCGGTGCTGCGAACGCTCGGTTTGAAGTCGTATGGCGCGTGTTTCGAATTTCATAAGCAGGTATTAATCGTTTACGATGGCGTAGGTCCAGGTGACCTCGGCGGTTTTGGCTAGCATAACGCCAACGGAGCAGTATTTTTCCACCGAAAGCCGGATGCATTTTTCTACACTACGCGGATCGAGGTCGCCTTTTAGGATGTAATGCAAGTGTATTTTATGGAATACCGCCGGAGTCTGGGTGGTGTCTCGTTCGCCATCCACATCCACTTGGATATCTTCTAGGGGTTGGCGCATTTTCTTGAGCAGCGTGACCACATCAATGCTGCTGCAAGCTGCATGACTCATGAGCAGGAGCTGCATGGGTCGTGGCCCTTTGCCTTCGCCGCCTATTTCGGGCGAACCGTCGGTGTGTATGCTTAAGCCTTCGTCATTGGTACACTCGAAGTGTACGGCTTGGTTGAGTCGGCGTAGGTGAATTTTCATTGAAGAATGTGCGTTGTGAATCGATTTGTATTATAACCGAAAAAATGGAAAAAGGTTATGCTAGGCTGGATGGAACACTGATTTTTATGATATTTATGATTTTCTTAAGATTTTTGTTAAGGATTTTCGGGGACAATGGTTTTCAACTCCATGCTTCGTAAAAAACAATAAACAAGAGGCTAAAACCTCATGGATTCATGCGTTTTTCATTTTCTCCAGCCAGAACCATAGTTTTTCCTACAGTTTTGGCTGGAGATTTTCATTTTGCCAGCCAGAACTGCTATTTTTTATGCGTTTTTGGCTGGAGATTTTCATTTTTCCAGCCAGAACTTCTATTTTTTATGCGGTTTTGGCTGGAAGATTTTCATTTTGCTATAAAAGTATGTAATTTTGCTGAAAATTATTGAATTATGCAACCTTCCGCGATAATAGGCAGACAAAAAGAAATAAAAAAACTGGATACCATAGTGCAGAGTAAGAAATCTGAATTTCTCACGGTCTATGGAAGAAGGCGTGTGGGAAAGACGTTTTTGATAAAGGAGTATTTCGATTATAAGTTTGATTTCCAGATTTCGGGCTTTGCCAATGCCAATACAGAGCAACAACTATTCAACTTCGATACTGCACTGTATAAAAAATCGAGCGTAGGATATGACACCCCATCTGCCAACTGGTTAATTGCCTTTCAGAGGTTGGAAAACTACTTGGAAACGATAGAAAAGGAAGAGAGAAAGGTCATTTTCTTTGACGAACTTTCATGGTTTGACACGCCTTCCTCGGATTTTATGATGGGTTTAGAGCATTTCTGGAATAGCTGGGCTACCAATCGAAAGGATATCCTGCTCATCGTGTGCGGGTCGGCTGCCTCTTGGATGATAAATGAGCTGATAAACAACACTGGTGGCTTGCACAACAGAATCACGCAAAAAATGAAAATAGAACCCTTCAATTTGCAAGAAACGGAAGCCATGTTGGTGTCCAAAAATGGCGTATTCGACCGCTATCAGGTCTTGCAGTTATACATGGCTTTGGGTGGCATTCCTTATTATTTAGATGCGGTGCAGCCTCATTTGAGTGTTCCTCAAAATATACAAGAGCTATTTTTTGATGATTCAGGCTTGTTAAAAAATGAGTTTCCCAACTTGTATAGGTCGCTGTTTCGCAACTACGAAAAATATGAAAAAATTGTGGAGGCACTCGCTTCCAAAACACAAGGGCTGTTGCGTAGCGAGCTGGTAAAACTGACTGAGATTGCCTCCGGTGGTACGCTTACGCGTATCTTGACGGATTTGGAGGAAAGCGGATTTATTACTTCCTACAGTTCGCTGGACAACAAACAAAAAAACATATTGTACAGATTATCAGACTATTATACTGCATTTTATTTCAAATTTATACAAGGTGGGCACTACAAAGGAAGAGAGGCTTGGATAAATATGATTGACAATCCGGCGCAACGAGCTTGGCAAGGTTTCGCTTTCGAACAGATATGCCTTGACCATGTGTGGCAGATAAAAAAAGCACTTGGTATAAGCGGTATTCTCTCCATAAACGCCGCTTGGCGAGGCGTTACAGAGGATAAATCTGCCCAAATAGATCTGTTGATCGATAGGCGCGACCATGTTATCAATATTTGTGAGTGTAAGTTTTCTTTGGACACGTATTCCATCGACAAGGATTATGCTGAAAAATTGCGCTCCAAGATTGCAACTTTCAAAACGGTGACTAAAACTAAAAAATCTGTTTTTCTGACAATGATTACCACTTATGGTGTACAGAAAAACCAATACGCTCAAATGTTGATGCAAAATGAGGTGGTGATGGATGATTTGTTTTCCTAAACTTTCGATTTACGATTTTATGATTTACGATTGGGGCGAGAACGTAACCAATCGTAAATCGTAAATCAAATAATCGTACATCGCAAAGCAGCAGGGATAGTAGCGGAAATAGCCCTTTGTGTGCCTTTTCCTACAATTACCTACGAAAACAAGACGATGCGGTGCCATGTATTTACCCGAAGAACCCAAACGCGAGGACAAAAAGGCACACAAAGGGCTATTGTAGCGGATAGCCCGGCGACTTTAAAAACTGCCGATTCATAGCCCCAGGCATGAAATACATCAGCAAAATGGCAGTTTTTAAAGGCGGCTGCCCAATTTTTTTATATTTTCCGCAATAAATTTCTGTGACTTGATTTTTTGTTGATACCTTTACGATTCCAATATTTTCATCAATTGTATTTCAACTACAACATCAACAATCATTATGGAAAGATTTACAGGACTTATAGGCTTTGCACTGATACTTGGTATCGCTTTTTTGCTGTCTAACAATCGAAAAGCCATCAACCTCCGTACGGTCGGGGTGGGTTTGCTTTTGCAGGTTACCTTGGCATTGTTCATTTTGCTTTCGCCGATAGGTAAGGCTATTTTTGGGTGGCTGGGCAAGGCTGTGACGAAGGTACTGGAGTTTTCTAACGACGGCGCACGCTTTGTTTTTGGTATTTTTGCGGATGATAAGGCGTTTGGTAACGTGATTAAGTCCACGGAAAGGTCTATGGAAATGACGAAAGACAGCACCATGCAAGTGATAGTCGGTCCGCAGCCGTGGGCGCACGATGGTTTGGGAAATCCGGCTTTTTTTGGCGGTTTTATCTTCTTTTTTAAGATAATTCCTACAATTATTTTTGTGGCGGTGCTGGTGAATATCCTGTACCACTTGGGAATTATGCAGAAAATAGTGCAAGGCTTGGCGTGGGGTATGTCGCGCCTGATGGGTGTGAGCGGCGCAGAAGCACTGTCTAATGCAGCGAGCGCATTTGTGGGTCAGGTGGAAGCACAGATTATGATAAAACCTTATCTGAAAGGCATGACCAACTCCGAATTGATGGCTTCGATGGCGGGTAGTTTTGCGTGTATAGCCGGCGGGGTAATGGCGACGTATATTGCTTTTGGGGTGCCGGCGGAGTACCTGATTGCGGCAAGCATCATGGCGGCGCCGGGTGCGTTGGCTATCGCAAAAATTATGTACCCGGAGACGGGCGTGAGTGAAACCATCGGTACGGTGAAGTTGGAGGTAAAAAAAGAGCATGTCAATCTTTTGGATGCCATATCGGCGGGTTGTTCGGAGGGCTTGAAAATAGGCTTCAATGTGATTGCGATGTTGATTGGTTTTATCGCTTTGATTGCATTTATGGATTATGGTTTGGGTAAATTTGGATACTTAATAGGTCAGCCACAATTGAGCATGAAATATATTCTAGGCTTTATTTTTTCGGGTATCGCTTGGACAATGGGCGTTCCTGCCGCCGAAATGAATCAAGCCGGTGCATTGATGGGTACCAAATTGGTGGTGAATGAGTTTGTAGCTTATCTTGATTTGACGGCTATACAACGCTCTGTTACCCCGTTATCAGCTAAGACATTCGCTATTGTGAGCTTTGCACTGTGTGGTTTCGCTAACTTCAGTTCGGTAGCGATACAAATCGGTGGTATCAGTGCGCTTGAGCCTTCGCGTCGTGGCGATTTGGCGAAAATTGGTTTCAAGGCTTTGATAGCGGGCACGCTGGCTTCATATCTTTCGGCTACGATTGTGGGGTTGATCTTGGGGTAGGTTTGCCGCGAACTGCACGAATTTTCACGAATCTGGATGGCACTTTGCGTGTTCGCAGGGATAATGATTTTTATGTTTTTTATGATTTATATATGATTTTTTTTGATACTGCGTGTGCCACTTTGCGTGTTCACAGGGATAATGATTTGTATGTTTTTTATGATTTATGTATGATTTTTTTATGATACTGCGTGTGGCGCTTTGCGTGTTGTTTTTTTACCACATAAGCGCACTTAAGAGCACCTAAGTTGCATGTCGACAGCATGTTGTTTTTTCATAAGAGTGTACCAAAACATGTATTTTAACTAAACTCCTATTGTTTAATATTCATATTAATTGTAAATTTGCAAAGTGAAAGAAAGGGAAATTTTTGGACTGGATTTCGAGGTGGATAAATTGACTAATTCCATCGAAAACGTAGTAACAGGAGACAGTTTTGCTACAGAAGTATCAATCGTTTCTACGGCAGATTTAAAGAATTTCACAAAGAAAACTGGATGGCAATTTGATTGGAAATATGAATA